AAATATGTTTATTTTTACCCATATTCTCTAACACCTTCCATTATTTTAATTTATTCAACATATTCGTATACAATGTTTTGTCAACACTTATTTAATCATTTTCAAATCTAATTACCCAAGGATATATCTGATTAAATGCATTAAAACTTATTCCGCAAATAAACAGTAACATATTCGATTTTAGAACGTTTATTGTAAGTGATTTCTAAGTTGTTATTATTATTATTTTTATTATTATTATTATTATTATTATTATTATTATTATTATTATTATTATTACGTGGATGGTTCATATTGGAAGGATTCGAGGAAACATTATATTCGATTTCTAAACTTATTCTACAACAGGTCATTTGTATAACGAAGTATCAGAATGTTTGAATGCATATTCGACATCGAAGCCGTTAATTTGTTGAACCCAGAAAGATGTCTAAACGCACGATATTAATCGGGTATCTAAATAAGTGTGCATTGGATTTGATACGTCACCTACCACACGGAGGCAGAGTTGAAAAATCTGCTAGAGTATTTCCAATTTTCAAAAACCTTTGTGGCTCCCTCTACTCTGTGATTCCTGCCTCCCATCGTCAACAGAAAGTTGGCCATCTTCAAGATACCTCTTCCACATACTGTTTTGTTTCTTCCGCAAACTTCAGCACTCATTTCAAACCAAAGAAGAAAGTGGGAACTTTCTTCTTGGGTTTCTTTCCACTGATCTCTCAGGATCTCTTTCGACTGATCTGTCATAAAATATGCATGATATTTTCTCCATGACCGCGCGTTACGTTACTCTGCCCACCATTAATTCTTGCAACTTCCTCCGCTTTTTCTTGCCCTTTTGCGTCATTCTCGTTCGCTCTTACTCGTTCTCTTGCCCTTCTCTTACTCTTCACTCTTCCGATCGTCCCTACATCCTTTTCGCTTCCATCTCACGAGCGAAGTGTCGTCTTCCCGCCAGCCACAGTCGCGCAGCCTCTTCCGCACCCGCGCAGCAAAACTTAAGCCGTCGCTCTCAGTCAATTTCATTCCATTAGTCGGCGATTATTCGAGGCGGGGGGCGGGGCCGCGCAGAGGCGATCCGGTCCTTCGCCCGCGGGCGGAATTTATCGCGAGTTGTTCGGGGTAATTGGAAGTGCTTGGCGCTATTGAGTGGTAATCTGGGGATGGTCGCCCCGCGCGGCCGGCCGGCCGACCGGCCCGCCCGCCCTTGCCGCCGCCCTCGCGCCACTTCGCGCCCCCTCGCAGCCCGTATAAGAGCTGTAAACGGGGCGCCCGCGCAGTTTTAATGCTATTGTGTCCGGGCGCCGCCTCACCCGCT